TGTGCTGCTTTTCCTCTTTGTATGGAATAAGCTCATATGATAAGCCTGAATGAAGACTTCTCTATATGTGTAAAACATATAAACATTTAGCAGCTATTTACTACTGACTTTTACTTCCCAGATCACTCAGCTACTCACTAACCTGCAGTAAGTGCAGCTCCCACAGAGCTGTGTTCTGAGCATTGCAGTGCTCTGGTTCATCCAGTTCTGGGAGATAAACTCCACTGCCTTGAGAGTCGTTGTCTAGTAAAAGGTCCATCTTTGGGAATGTCTACAACACCAGAAAAAAAAAAAGAAAGAAAAAAAAAAGACTGAGCTGCTTATATTACACATCCAATTATAACACGGTTAAGTTCAGGATTCATTCCATGTTATTCAGTCTTAGCAGCATTGAAAGATACTCGCTTAACACCTTTCAAAATACTTTGAATTTTTTGACACATTGATTTTATGCAATAACCTTTAACCAGCAAGCCAAAAACTTCAACAAGAAAAACTTACTTGCATTAATACCCTGTTTGTTGCCAAGATCCCAACACTGGAGTTTGGAAGTACATGAAGAGCAAGTGTGGAAAGGCGCTTTAGGAAAGCAAGAGCTCGTTGCTGGGAAACTTGCTTTCTCCGCTTGGCAAACATCACATCCAGGCACTGGAGCACAATCCCTATATCATCATTGGTACCACCTCAAAAGCAGAATTTCATACAAAGAGTAAGTAATCATTTCGAGGAATATACAGCTAAATACTCTCCTATTGACTGTTCCTGGAACCTGAGAAACAGCATGAAAGCTAAAAGGTTCAAAGACAGCATTAATGTGATACAGACATAAGCATCCATCCTTTTTTGGTAAAAATAGTCCAGCTTTGAATAGGAGAAAGAAAAAAGTATCATTGTTTCTGTGCTCCTTTCTAAGATAATATTTGTTCCATCAAAAATGTCTAAACATTAGAAGCAGTTAGTGTTTTAACCCTAACTGTATTCGTTATATCACCTTTTCTAAACTGTTTAACAGTGCAATGATTTAGTTTACCCATCCAGAATTGTATAATGTTTTTTACCTCAATCTTTACTACTTAGTGAAGACAAATTTATGAAGTTAATTAAAATTATGTTAATTTCAAACTTGATAAGTATCTTTTTTCCATAAACTATTCAGCTTCTCAGAATTATTAGAAAATTAAATTAGAAAATTAGAATGTCAGAACTATAAAAATCAGAAATATGAACAAAAATATTTTAGGAAACAGAATTTAAATTGAAATTGTTTAAATTTATATTAGAAAAATTAGAGATTTTGCTCTATTAGAGAAAGAATTAAAGAAAAAATAGAGAATTTTGAATTGCCATTGAAAGAAACAATTACAAGGAAGTGAAACATTTAAACTGATGACAGGACAAATGCTTATCCAAGATCACTTACTCAGCACTCCCTGATGAAGTGACATGGATAGAACCTGTTACCACGTATTGCAATAATACTTCTAGTATGTGCACTGCAGTAGTGCATGTGCAACTTGAGAAAAAAAGTAGACTAAAACAGACAATACTTTTTTCAGAACTCTGATATATTAAAACAACTGTAGTTTATTAACACTATATTAAAGTTTTGATACCACAGAAAAGCAGAATAAACATTATCTAGGTAAACACTGAAAACAAGACTCTGGAGTTACCTGCATGTAGGCTGAACAGTGTCTTGTAAAGATGTGTGTAGAATTTCATCGGATCAATGTTAAGAACATCACCTATTAAGATAATCCCAAATAAATACGTTTACTCCACTAATTTATCAGACAATATTAAACAAAAGTCTGGGTTTAAAGATCTCTTACCTTGACCAGAGAGTATATGAAAAGCACTGAGAACGCAATGAAGACTCTCACGATAGCTTAAATCCTAAGAATACAAAACCAATTAAGTACCCAAAAGAACATGATTTTAAGAAAACTGTAAAAAAGTGAGCTCAACTTACCCCAGATGCAATGAGAGAATGTAGGACAATCAACAAGTCATCAAAAAATTCCACGTTAATTAGATGAGCAAACCTTGAATCAAAGAGATTTTTATTTTTAAACTACAGACATTATCTGCAAACTCAGTTCAAAATATTCTGAATTGCTAAAATCCACACCATAAAAGTAGAGCTAAATCAAATGCTGAACATCTGTTATCTTCACATAAATGGATGACTCAGCCCCCAACTGCTAATCAGGTAATCAAGCAAAACAATGGAATCACATCACACCCTGCTGGGTTTGCATCACATCAATTCAATCATGGGAAATTTCACATCACATTTAAACATTTTTAGAAGTACGTGAAAACTTCAGCAGAAAAATAAAAGAATTTCAACAAATTTGTCAGGGACAGTCTCCTCTCACTGCTTATGAATCCCTTTCAAAGTTAAAAATCCCTGTAAATGATTTATGTCTTTTCTAATACACACAAAGGAAGGTGGAGTCAGTTCTTACTTTGCAAGACCTTCTAACACAGCCGGCAAAAGCGGAGACTTCTGAGCTTTCTTCAAGATTCTAAAGTATGTTACAAATACAATATTCAAGGTCTCTGTGTGCTGAAGAAAAGAAAATAAAATCCTTAACCAGACATTTCTACTTCACTTAAACCCAATTGAAAATGCTTCTCTGTCCAAGCTGGCACTCAGGCCTTCCAAACCAGTCTGGGCACTACCACCTCTGCTCTTCTTACGCTGAAAAGCTCAAGTCCTGCTCTCTTGCCCCCTACTCTGTCCCCTCATACTCTCCTAGCTAAACAGCCCCTCTTCCCCTCAGCCCATGCTAGCCACACTCCTCCTTTGCCTGAAGGCCACTCTGAGAGGCTGGTAACAGCCATCACAGTGTTCCATTGGGCTGGTTTTGGCGGGGATGAAGTTAATTTTCTCCACAGTAGCTGGTAGGGGGCTCTGGTTTGGGTTTGTGCTGAAAGTAGTGTTGATAACACAGGGATGTTTTTGTTATCACTAAGCAGTGCTTAAACAGAGCCAAGGCCTTTTCTGCTTCTCATACCACCCCACCAGTGAGTAGGCTGGGGGTGCACAAGGAGCTGAGAGGGAACACAACCAGCACAGCTGACCCCAGCTGACCAAAGGGATATCCCATACCCTTTATGGGATATCCCATATGTCATGCTCAGCATATAAAGCCGGGGAAAAGAAGGAGGAAAGGGAAGGGACGTTCAGAGTGATGCTGTTTGTCTTCCCAAGTCACTGGTAGGTGTGATGGAGCCCTGCTTTCCTAGAGATGGCTGAACACCTGCCTGCCGATGGGAAGTGGGGAATTAATGCCTTGTTTTGCTTTGCTTGTGTGCGCAGCTTTTGCTTTACCTATTAAACTGTCTTTATCTCAAACCAAGAGTTTTCTTACTTTTACCCTTCCAATTCTCTCCCTCATGCTGCTGAGGGGGAGTGAGTGAGCAGCTGTGTGGTGCTCAGTTGCCAGCTAGGGTTAAACCAGGACACACATATAACAGGAACAGGGCTCCTGGAGGACCTATGTCAATGGATTCAAATCCTTTTGTTCTCTGCATAAAAAGGTAAATAGGAAAGGCTAAGCTGGCTTTCCTGGGTAAACTGAGAGGGCTTGGTTTACTAAAACCTAGGCCTCTGCACAGGCAAAATGTTTGTAAGCTGCCAACCTTATCTAGAGGTATGGAATGCTGACAGGTTGGGCGGAGGGGAGACACTTGGTTACGGAAGGGTTAGGAGCTGCTACTTTGCAAAAAAACAGGAAAATAATCTCTAAATTACTTACCAGCTTCAGCTTTTTTTCTTTACTTTCTGATGCTTCTGCTTCCAAGAGTTCTCGTTCCAGTTTCTCTTCTGCTTTCCTCCACTGAAAACATACAGTTCATTTTAAGACAACAGATTAAATGTTTCCAACCAGCCTGGATATCCAGGTTCCAAAGATACCCAGAGAACAAATCTTCCATGCTTGGTGAGTTGCTTAAGTCCTCTGTGATGCTACAGGGTAACCAACTAGATATATTCCTTCCTATCAGAAACAACCAACCAATGGCATTATCAACACCAGAAAGAGAAAAAAAAAAAAAAAAAAAAAGGGAGATAATTAAATTCTCTGTAGAACCTCATAAATGTTCAAGTACAATGTAAACACTAATCACTAATGCTGAGAGTTAACAATGGCAACAGGAGAAGTGCAATCATTGCTGGAACAAACTGCTACATAGTCACTGAAGTAGAGCACGAGAAAGCATGTCATACCTTTCTTTGCATTCTGGAAAGATTTTTTCTTTTCTCTTTGTAAGTCATGAACTTTTTCTTTGGTGCAATGTCTTCGGAATCTTTTTGTAATTCTACTTCCTTAATTCTTAAGTGAAGAAATACTTTTAACACCTATTGTAAAATAAATTAAATACAATGAAAGGTGATCCACAACAGAGGAATGAGGGGTAAGAAATTCTGAATCCCATTCCAGCTAGTGGGCCAAAGGTTCTTCTGTTTACTCCCCTCCTGTTCCTTCATGTCTGTATCTCTCATCCTGGCTCCCAGTTCCTCCTACAGCACTGTCCATTTCTATCCATTCCTCCACCTGCCTCTCTCGCTTCAAGTCTCCCTGCCTGACCTAACCCACACCTCTGTGAGGATCTTATCTCCTCCTCCCAGTCTCCTTCCCCTGCCCTGTATCTCCCTTTCTAACCCTCTGGCTCAGCCCACTCCTAAGCTGCCTGTGTTCTGACAAAGAGAGGAAATTCTGCTTGTCTGTAGCCAGAGCTACACTAACTTTATCTTTCAGATTTTTTTTAAATCACTGACAGAAGAAAATTGTGTAGTACAACAGGAAGACTCTTACCTCAGGTCTGACATCGTAATTTCTACCCTTCACAAGACCAGAAATGACCTTAACTACACCGAGTGAAGCATAGCCCAACTTGTCTTGTTTAAAGAGCTTCTTAACTGCCTCACAGCATAGTTCAGAAATCTGAAAAGTGAATTCAGACAAATTCTTCTGTAAAGCCAAGTCCACGACAACATCTAAGCAATAATACTGATGGTATTTACTAATTAGAAAGTGGACACAGCCTGTAAAATAGTGAAAAGATACAGTCACAAGATCTGGATATTGTGGAATAAAGCTCAGAAATAGATTATTTTTCATGCAAAACAAGAGCTC